ATGTCATGGAAACGCCGTAGCAGCCGCTAACCGTTATCGGGAGAAATTTCCGAATCGCAGAGCGCCCAATCGAAAAACATTTTTAAGGATTGAAACCCGTTTAAGGGAAAATGGGACGTTTAAGCCGAAATTTACTAACAACGGTAACGTAAGATCAGCCCGAACACCCGAACTAGAAGAAGATATTCTAGACTACGTAGAAGAAAATACTACAGCTAGTACTTTAGATATGGCGAGGCATTTTTTAACTTCAAAAACAACTGTCTGGCGTGTTCTTCACGAGCAACAGCTTTATCCATTTCATTGTTACAAAGTTCAGGAAGTTCGACAGGAATATGCAGTCGCAGTGGGTAATCAGCCAGTCTGCGCATTCGGCATATTGCTAAATAATACAGCACAAAATCCAAATTGATGATCAGTTTTTAGAAAAAGTACTTTTTACAGATGCATTCTAAAGATGGAATCATCAATTTGAGAAATTTACATAGTTGGGCGGACGAAAATCCAAGATTTAAGAAACTTGGAAATCACAATGGAGATTTTCTCATGACGTTTGGGCTGGCATTGTGGGCAATGTAATTATTGGACCCGTTTTCTTGCCATCAAGGCTGGATGGACATACATACAGGCGACATTTAGATGAATTAGATGATTTTTTAGATGACGTTCCTTTAAACACAAGGCAAGCAATGTGGTATATACATGATGGTGCTCCTGCGCATAGCACACAGGCTGTCCAAGAATTTCTGAGGGAACGTTTTCCGGGACGGTGGATTGGGCGAGGAGTAGGTGCACCCATAAGTTGGCCCCCCGATCGCCGGATCTTACACCTGTAGATTTTTATTTATGGGAACGCGTTAAACCACTAGTTTACTGCGTTGAAATAACTTCAGTTGATCAACTGAGGTTGCAAATTGTTGATTCATTTACGTAGGGTTACGAGCGAACAAGAAAGTTCTGAGCAAACAAATTTTAGGGACAGCCTGTATAGCATGGTTGCCGCAGCCCGATCAAAGTCAAAATTGATTCAATGATTTTGCTTGATATTTGTTTACCCTCTACCAAATTTCAACGCTCTACCATAAATGGTATTGAAAATATTTAGAAAAATGTGTTAAAATTTCTGAACTTTGATGGCCCATATTTTGGCCATTTGAAGACTTTTATAATAATTTTTTTTCACGAATCGTCATCATTTTTGCTCTAGTATATGAGGTTAATTTTAAGCCCCGAGTCACCGGAACACCTGTATAGGGTGATTTATTAGCTCACCATCAAACTTTGCCATATGATAGCTAATCCAATAACCAAAAAAATGTTAATGACATGTGTCCTATTTTAATTATTTACGAAAATGTAACACTTTAAAGTTTTCTGCAACGAATTTATTAATAGTCAGCTAATCTGAGGCTATTTTGAACAATATTTGTAATATATAGTGTTTAAAAAAAAAATGTAGCAGTGAATTATGATATAATAATTAAAACTTTAAAATGTTATAATTTCGTAAATAATTGAAATAGGAGTTCATTAACATTTTTTTTTGTAATTGGATTAGCTTTCGTATTATGTCAAAGTTTGATGGTGAGCTAATAAATCACCCTGTATATAACTTGTTTTCTCAAGAGAAAATCAAAACAAAAAAAATAATAATAATAAGGGTCGACAAATAAACCTCTAAGGTAAAAAAGGGGACAAAAGCGGAATGAAAATAAAGTACGAGTGGAAACGTAGGCCTTATTTATCACGAGGGAGGGAAACCAGACAGTTATATTAAAAGAGGATGGACGTTGATGGTCCCTTTCTGGTTATAAGTAATATCCAGTTGTTGTAGTTGATGGGAAAACTCTGAGTGATTGTAGTGTCTTATTTGGGTTTCCTTTGTAAGAAATACTCTCGTAAAAATGAAATATTTTTAACCAAATTTGCGTTTATTAGGGATGGTATTGAAATGGAATACGAAATTTTATCAAACATCGCAAGCGTATGGATCCTACCTAATCCCCCACTAACAGAAACAACAGTCACCATGGAATTCCTTCATCTCAGAAACACCACATCCGACGATTGGAACATCAATTGCGCAGTTTCCGATTTCGCCAGTTACGGATATACATGGGATCTTCAGAATTGTCGTACAAGGATTTTGGATGCCTCCGCTTCGCGATGTACGTGCACAAGAACCGGCACGTTTGCCGTTTTGATGACGAAGAGACCTACTATAGTGAGTATTCCATCGGTACTCGTCGTTCGCATCTGTCCTTGATTAAGACCTTATCGGACAATAATTAGTAATTAATTATCGCAGATTAATCAATATTCGAAGCACACAGAAAACCAATTACCACACGGTACCATAATGGGGAACTCATGTTCAGCTCGTCGAGTCACGGACAGAGGACGTCGCTTGTATTCAATATAATTTTCGGATACCCAAAATTGATAACGGCCCAATCGATGTTGTTTGTGCATAAATCACCTTAGTACATATGATTGACACACATTTTATATCTCTATAAATGACATATATACAGTTAAAAATAATCCTGAGAGGTAATAAGTTGTGCTTAAGTATAGCAGTTAACGCTGTGTCAGTACATAGGTAGTTGGCTTACCCCTTGACTGCAACGATTATTTACCAACCCCTCCAGTTTCCTTGCGGACAATAAGGTACAGACAAGCGTATTAATACCAGTAAACCTGGAACGTAATCGCTCGTAATCCCCGAACCCTTCCCGAACTTTGTATCGAATTATTAATGTTTGCAATTTCCGTTTGTGTTCCAAGCAGAATTAATTCTAAACAAAACTAGGTAACAATTCAAAAAATTAAAAACGATAAAAGTTAATACACATCAAATAAATAGTTGATGATGCACTTAATCGAAATTTGTAACTATTCCGGAGTGATTTCATAAAGCTCGGAACCGCAGCGCGTCGAAACTACCAACTTGATAAACACCCATTCGAAATAACGACGGCCCTGCCATAACCGAAGTTTTATGTTCAGGCAAGTCCCGCAGACGACCCCGTCCGTCAACACGTTATCGTCCTGGCCGGGTGTTGTACGTGTTTGATCCTATCCACCGCATCGGCAGCTCTCCTGACTACGCACTGGGCGCTGAGCCGGTCCTGTATCGGCTTCATCAAGCTGCAGTGCTGCTCAACCATAATTGGCGCTATGGTAGTTTTCGTGTACGCCATCTGGAGGGAATTGACCGACGTAAGTTCGCCTGCATGAATATTCCATTCCGGTATAGGTCGAACCCGGTGAGCGCGATGGCTCTCCCTGCAAAACTGTGTATTGAACCTGAGCTGGCGCATCGCCCACGCGATAAGTTTATCGAGATGCGGCGAAGCGCGCTCTGATCGTAAATTTACCATTAGATGTTTCAGGTTTAACCCATCCACTCTCTTTTCTACCAGCTGAGGCTCTGGTTGCGGTTGCAAAATTGCATTTACGCCATAATATACTTTTATATACACCGAAGCAATATTTTAAAAATTTTATACTTGAGACAGATAGATAATTTATTTATTTCAAACAAGTTCAGGGGAGAGCTTTTTAATGTCGACTTGAATATTACTTCATTTTAAGTATAGTAAGTTTGGTTTTAACCTTGATTTTGATTTAACCTCAGTCAACCCAACTGTATAATGTCTCTGAAAAGGAGAGGACTTTAAGCCAAGTGCGTTCATCTCTATAACCTTCTGATCTTGATCAAGCTGAATACTAAATTCGGCCATCTTCGAAGAGGTCAGGATCAGGGTTAATGTATACAATGGAACTCTTCATGGATCCTCAAGATCGAAGTTATGCAGTGTAATTTTGATCTTGAAATTTGGCAAGGTTACGCGGTGTGACCTTGATTTTCGCTATGGAGGGTCGACTTTGGTTTTTGCAAATAAATTCAAATGTAACATGACTTGGGAGATGTCACCACTGCTTATTCAACGCCCTTTAAAAGAATTGAAATTTTTATCTCCTTTTTTAAAAAAAAAAGTATCTAAGTTTTCGCACACACTCAGTCAACGTCAATATTGAATGTGTCATTTTAAGGCACCAAGAAACCTTCAAAAATGCTAGAAACCTAAGCTTTGTTCGTTGGGACTGCACTACTTGCACTCACTTGCACTAAGCAGTTTACTGGAGATGTTAGCTTTGTTCGTTGGGACTGCACTACTTACACTAAGCAGTTTAGTGCAGATTTGTGTGTTCGTTGGGAATAGTGCAGTTGCACTCATACTGTTCGTTGGGCCATGTGCAGTGCAATTTAGTGCAGCCAGTGCAAGTTACTGCAGATTTTGTTGCACCTGCTTTCGATAATAGCTTTGTTCGTTGGGACTGCACTACTTGCACTCACTTGCACTAACCAGTTTACTGGAGAGGTTAGCTTTGTTCGTTGAGACTACACTACTTGCACTCACTTGCACTAAGCAGTTTAGTGCAGATTTGTGTGTTCGTTGGGGATAGTGCAGATTTGTGTGTTCGTTGGGGATAGTGCAGATTAGGGCAGTTGCACTCATACTGTTCGTTGGGCCATGTGCAGTGCAATTTAGTGCAGCCGGTGCAAGTTAGTGCAGATTTTGTTGCACCTGCTTTCGATTAAGTTCAATAAGTGCAGTTTAATGCAGTGTAACTAAAATGGCGGAATATTTGAAAGCGTGTTTTGTAATAATTAATATTAATATTAAATATAATAATTAATATTTGTTGTATTAGAAAACAGAGTATCCATTTAAAATATTATACACTTTTTTTTATAAAAATCTGTTCGTTGCGACCACGGTTTATACATACACTTTTCTGACCTGCACTAAGTTGACATGACATTGCACTGACTTACACTTCATTGCACTATGACGTCATACATGGTGTGTAATCTTACTACTATAAAAATGTAGACCGAGATTTAGTACCCTCACAATCCACTGGATGACGTTGTAGACTGAATTTGCAGCAATCTGCATTATCTACACAAACAAAGTGCTTGTAACCATAGAAAACTTCTTTGTGTAACGTCAAATTCATTGTCAGAGGTGAAAGCAAACGTAACATTTTTGTTTTGTCGTTTAGTGTGATAATTGGTGATAACGCCGTTGTATAAGCAAATTTTCTTCCTTACGTTCTTTTGGCTTAGTGTTTTATATCCTTTAGTTAAGTATTTAAATAAGTTAGAGCCACTTGATAAGTTTATCCGATAGATAAATTGGCACTCTTAGCCAATGAGCAATATACATTAAAAATTATGAATATTATCTTGGAAAAACTTTAAATTCATATTTTTTCCTATTTATTTGGAAAATGTACTTGACCTCTTCAAAATAAAAGTAAAACCGGTATAGAAATACCTATATTTAAATTTCGCGCTTTAACCTAATTAGTTCCCTCACAATCCTCTTGGGAGCGCTTGTACCAAAAAATAGTGGGGAGATGACCTTCTATACACATAATATGTATAAATTTTTCTATGACGTCATACGAGTGCCATGTCGTGCAGAGTAGTGCAGTCCCAACGAACAACGCTCTAATTACAGCAAAACAAGTCACCAACTTTTCAGTTCACTTGAAAAAGACATCGTGAGAGACTTTTTAGAAACCATTTAAGTACCGTTAAATTTATAAACGTCATAATTTGACGTTAATTTATTATTAGTTATCTGACCGAACGAAATTTATTTGTAACCTCGAATGGATTCAAAAAATCATCGAGAAGGAGTCGATGTTTTAATGAAACATCTCGTTTCAAGAAAGGACGTGATAACGTTCAACGTTTATAATGAAGTACAACAGCCAAAACGGCATAAGCGAACATCAAAAATAGCTGCTTCGATAATAAATTGTGGGCCGAATACTAGCTTCGCTCAAGTTTACAAACAACAAAAGGCAATTGCTAAACGGGAAACGTACAAGATGCTGCAACATTACACGGATTTTAAAGAGAAATTTTTAAAGAAAGATAAGAAATCGGAAAGTGAAGATATACCGTTAATAATCGTGGATGAAAGTAAAAAAAATTATTTGTAGTTGTTAAGATTTTAATTATTATTTTTTTGTAGTTTATTCTGCAAAAGATGTGCCTAAAAAACCTTCAATCGAAACGATTCTTGAAGAAAAATCAACTGTGAACGTTCCCGAAAAATCTGATATAAAAATATCTACCGGAAAAGATCTATTAACGAAACTTCGCCTACTTCAAGGCGAATTTAAATGTGTGGATCTAAAAAAAAAACTTTCCGGTTTTATTCACGAATACGTCGCCGCAAATATGAATGAAAAAATGGAACCAAGCGGTACTAACAAAGCTTCACGATCGAAATAAACTAAATATAACAAACAAATAAATTTCTCCGGCCAGAAAAAGTTGCCTTGTTTTATTAATGCTGTTCATTTATTTTAAGGCAGAGTAAAACCTCATAAAAAGAACGATACAAAAACCACCCCTCCGGCAAAACTCTAAATTACCCGCGATTTCTTTCACGTCGGTTTTTTTCACGCCGCTACTCATAAAAATTTCAATTCGACTCTCTCCTTTGTAATTTTTAATTAAAGACGGTCTGAACCGGTACTCTCGGTACATTTAGTTGCCGTTCCTAATATTCATTCTTTCTTTTTTTAGCCATCGTCGTTTCTCTACCTGATGAGCTTTCTGGAAAGTTTCTTACTAACAGCTATGTCGTCACAACTCAGCAAGCTCCTTGTTGTTTATACGGAAATCGTTCAATTACAACGAATGGGTAGTATTAAACAAACCGTTGTTTTGATCATTACAGGTAAGTGCTTCTCTTTTCTATATCTATATACATTGCTTATAAAAATCTACGTTCCGACAAATTTCTAGAGGTATTTTATTTTTTTTGCCTTATTAAATCTTTACACCATTAACACTCTTAGATGATATCGGTTTAATTACAGAACAGTTTCCAAATACATGGTGAATTCGAGCACAAACCTAAGCGCACTGGGCGATTAAGGTCGTATTACACACACATTAAAGTGCAACCGCCGTAGTAATTGTTGTACCATCCGTACCCGCTGTTTAGGCTGTATTGTCCTTACTAAATCCTTGGTTTTGAGACCAGACCAGAACCCCACGTTTTGCACGCCCTTTGCATCGGATTTATCGCGAATATTGTCGCGCTTATACACCACGCGAATTCACCCTTTGTTATAACGATGTTTTCAACACTGTCTCATTGCCTGGTTATTATCGCCTTTAGTTTCGCCTCTTTGTATCCAACGCCGTGTTCAAATAATTAATTGAGAGATTATATAGCGACTCATTATTCGCTATTCACTCATTTAAACTGGTCTTCAATACAATCTTTATTTCGTTATTATTTTTGTTTGTAGAAATATTTGGGTCATAATCACGTCTTAACACTCTGCTTCTGCAATCAACTTTTACGGTTACCCTTAGCACATTTTCTGCCCATAAGCGGACAGGAAGCCATAAAATTTAATAACCATTGTTTCGTCTAGCGCTCGCTTCCTCCTTATTCTCGAGATTATCTGAGCCTGGTTGGCACTGATTTCCTTGGAGGTAACTTTCGGGAACCGCCTAGAAAAGTTCCACCTTCGAGGGGGTTAGTCGCTTTTTACGATAACGATTATAGATTTCGTTATAGAAACTTTGTATCGGGAACGGGATAGAATATCGCGTTAGGGACTATTTTGTAACGGGCAAACTCTGTATAAAAATCCTCTTCGAAAAGTAAACACTTTTAAAAACCAATTTAATTCTTTAAGATAATCTTCAATCATTTAAGTTATGAGAATCTATTTTGAATTAACGTAAATAGTTTATGTAAGCTATAAAAATTTATAGGCTTACATCCATTTCCATTCAAATGTAAGTACAGGGTGTCCCGTTAAGCGTACGGAGCGGCTGTATCTCTAGAACGGTAAGGCCTAGAGGTTTGGGAAAAAAATCCTTATAAGCAAAGTGACCAAGAGAAATAGCTGGAAATTATTTTGAAGTTCGTAATTCGACCGCTAGGGGGCGTAACTGCCATTGAAAC